GGGTTGCTGGGTAACAGCCCAGCCATTACTACCGGTTACAAACAACCCCCGCCGGTAATAACATCCAATGCCGCAAACCTTCCGCTGCTAACACGCCGTAATTCTTCCCTAACATGTTGGGAGTAGCACTGATTGCTCCTGCTAACCCACGATAACATCAACTCTAGCACTGCCCAGGTGTTGTTGCCGTTGTTGGGCTTTCCGTAGGTGCCCCGGATTTGACCACTTTTCTAGAGCGGGAACTCTCCAACAACCAACCGCCATCGACGGTTACCAGTGCAACACTATTGTAACCCTCCTTCCTCGTTGCCCCTTCCGCCAGCCAGTCGAAGACAGGACCTGGGACGTTACCGAGTGCTCCTTCAATTTTCGGACCACTGAACACTGAACAGGGCAGGCATCCGATTTTGTCTGCTTCCAACTCGAGCGAGGTCCAAACCGAGTTTACTTCGTTGTGCCGGAATTCTCGTCCAGCTTGTGGATGTTTGCACCAAAACGGCTCTTCACTTTCACTTCAGCATTGGACACTTACGCGCGCACAACACCTACGTGCTCCTCTTTCTAACAACCAACATCAAACGCACGTTCTGCTCTTCGACTTTTATTCTAGCTTTCCAACATAGCCAGCCCACTTTACCCTATGCGGTCGCCCATTCGCAGCCCCCAAAGAGACTCCATTCCGTCACCCACCACGCTGTCCGTGTGCAGCTGAGCGCTTGTCCGGATCCCCGTACGCCCCGCCCCCAGGCCAAGCCATCACTGCCCGTCTACCTACAACACAACGGAACGCACTGCGTACCTACACCAACACCTCAGGTGGTGGTGAAAGAAGTTCTGCCGTGTGTACAAGTTTGCACAGCTGCATACCGCCCGTGGCATTGAACGAACAGACGGATCCGACCCAAGTACCTTATTTGAACAAAGGGAAAAACGGAGGTTGTGTAATCCCGGCGACCACAAATCTTCAAACTGGTCCGAGTTCCCTGCCTGCTTGCACTATTGGGAAGGCAATTGTTGGCTGACGGATGTGGACTAGGTTTTGATCGACATCGATATCGACGCGTCCAGTTTGCACCACTACCCTTATTTGGCTTCAAGTCCGTCTGTCATCTTGCTCGGCGACACTGCAACAACCAAGTCCCAAGTCCAGTCCCTTGGTCTTCCGTGCGCCCCAACTCGAGCGGACTCTCCTCCCGGTGTCCAGGTCCAGAGCATCGCGACGGCGAATCCGACCACAGTAGTTCCCGACGACAGTAACGACGGCCTCAAGAACGCGAACCAGCTAGTGTCAGCATCGATTGGCGACTCTTCTTCGCGTGTTGCCCAGGCTTCTGTCGTGGTTCCAGAATCTTGCTTCTCACTACACTTCAGAGGGAATCAGGCCCGACAACATACCAATTGGAACATCATCATATGCCGAACATCTGTCCGTAGAGAATTCGAATTGGTCCGGAGAGGTGTCACGAGAAGATGGAGGCCTCATCGCCCCTGGCCGCGATTCGGCCTGCTCCGCCATCGTTTAGCCAGCCAGAAGTGCTTGGACCGCGCAATACCAACTTGGCGCCACCGACAGGTCTCTTCAACTTCAAGCGATCCAATGCAGCCTTGTTCAACACCAAACATGCGGGAAGATCTTCGCCCAAGGGCTCGTTAGCGGTCGGGTCGTCAGAAAACTTCAAGCTCAATGAAGCAGGGTTAGCCTTCTCACCTAGAAGTCGAATAACCGATAGCATCGTCGACAGTGTTGACCTAATGGAAATCTGCAGTAGCCCGTTACTTCCGACTCCACGGCGTGCGTTGTTCACCTCAACGGGTATCGAAAACACCTTTGAAGGTCGTGGTAAGTGATCAATGGCGGGGGAAATCGGCTGCATGGTGTCTTTTAAGCTCGGACGCTGACATATCTGTAGGGTATGCAACCACGCCGCCCCCTCCTGCATCATCGTCACCTGCAGTCAACAGATTGGACATGTCTCCGGTACCGATAAGAGCTCCTTTCTTGTCCCGTATCGCCGTCAGTCCTTCTCCAGCTCCGGGTGATTCTGGGGATGAGGACACATTACCAGACTCACCTGCTGCTGTGCGACAGTTGTCCCAAGAGTCCAAGGGAATTGGTGCTGAGTAAGTTTATGCTTGAATGTTCAAATCAGCAAAGTTCTCCCAGTTCTATCCTCATCTTTGGTTTATGCAAACGCTAATCTCTCTTCTCTTTACCAGGCGAAAGAAACTTGGTTTGTCTCGTCCCTCTCTGGCCCGGGCCAAAGGTTACAGCACGAGTAGTATACCCGGCCGTGCCAACGGTTCCGGGTCGGGACTTCCGCCCTTTCGCTTCGGTGGCCGGAACCTAAAGGTACCCATCTCCCCTTCGGTGTCGTTATCATTGAGCGAATGTTTCGAAGAATCACCCCCGCAGGAGCGCCGGACACCTGTTTTGCCAGGTAGTCCGTGCTCTAATGCGGCGGCAGCGCGCTGCAGGACTCATCATGGCAGCGTGAGCAGCATTAACAGCGTTCGCAAACGTTCTCCCACCAACAACGCCCGCACGCCTTCAAATCCCTTTGCCCGGCAGAGGAAGACATTCCGCCGCTCGCTGTCCATGTTCGAGAGCCCGGGTGACATTGTCAGGCCTAAGGAACGGACATCTCTTCCCTCTGGTCTCAAGTCTGTCGTGGATGCCGAGGAACCTCAGGAGCCCCTATTGCCACACTTCTTCCCTTCAGGAGAGAACGATTCTATCCCGCGCATCAGCCGAGACACATTGCTTGAAGTACTTGACGGCAAGTATGTCAGTCAGTACTCCCACAAGATGATTATTGACTGCCGTTTCGAGTACGAGTACGAAGGAGGCCACATTGACGGGGCTATCAACTACAATGACAAGGAGCTTTTGGCGAGACATTTGTTCGAGACCCCTATGGAAGGGCGCACGCTCTTGATTTTTCACTGCGAATATTCGGCCCATCGCGCGCCCATCATGGCCCGTCACGTACGATCAGAAGACCGCACTATCAATGCCGAGTTCTACCCCAAGCTCACGTACCCCGATGTGTACATCCTGGATGGCGGCTACAGTGGCTTCTTCCAAAACCACCGAGAGCGTTGCTGTCCTCAAGCGTATATCGAGATGAACGATGCCGAACATATCAATACGTGCGAGCGAGAAATGGGTCGACTACGCCAGACCCGTAAGGGCTTTAGCAGGGCCCAGACCTACGCATTCGGTCAGCGTGAACGCAAATCCGACAAGTTCGAGGCTGTTTCGCCAACCGCGCCAGGCCGCAAGGTTTCTCGGGATGATGAGGAGGACATGATAGGAGCATCGCCCATTCTCGGAAACGACCGAAGCCATTCTAGGCGCATGGCTACCTTTTGAAGCCGAGAAGTGGCATGGCCCAGACACAACCAGACATCACCTCTGTTGATATGGGCTGTGACTGACTGCATGGAGAGCGTCTGACCTCGCGCTCGGGACCCTGGGGCCTGGATTATACTTGATCGTCGGCTGTTGCGATCAAGGTGTACAAACGGTGTACTTGTACATATGGCCAGCAAAGTGGCCTTTTGACTAACGACATACCCCTACGAATATATCTACTTTCGGCTGTCATCATATTGGAAGTTTCTTCATTGCACTTTCATCCTATACCCCAAGACTTTCAGCACTGCAGCCTCTGTGGCAACGTATAGAGCTAGATTTGTCGTTCGATGGCGATCATCGATAATTCCTTGCTCTGCATCAGTTAGAGTAGCATCTCACACTGAGCGTTTTCCAAGTTTCCTTCTATACTATAGCTTGTACGGATGATACCATAGCGGAAGCAAATCAAGCAAAACCACATATTGTCCGTCCGTGATGTGGTGATCACAACAGTGCTTTGGCCAGACTCGAAACTTGATGGATACTCACAGGTGGTCTCGGGAACAGGATGTCACGTAAAGCAACGTGGGCAGAGTAAACTGTCCGTCGGGGGTCTCCTAATGGAGAAGTCAAAGAATGATGTGTCGGATGGAGACTAAAACACGGAGGAGTCTAGAGTATCACCAGGAGGTCATATTTGATGTAAATTTAATGTAAGTAAGATAACCTAACAAAGTTCATGAGGCGAAGTCAATTAGGGGGCTGCAAATCTTCAATGGAAGCAATCACTATCTGCAATGATTCCTGGCGCAGTTATGACAAGATTAGGGCGAAAGTGTGATGCGTTATAAGTGACCATGCCAGCGATATTTCATGTTGCACTGATTTTGGCCTGAGAAGGCGTGGGGTGACGTTGAAGCAACGACGACGACTTACATGGGATGAAAGTGTAGTTCCTGAGACCAAGGCGGGTGGATCCGAGACGGGGCAGAGCGGAGACGGGACGGGCCCGACAATGTGGGTCTTCTTCGGTGCGGAGCGTGGAGCCCCACTCGTCAAGAGGCCGGATGGGGAGATACCTGTGTGTATTTTGTGCATTCCAGTCCCAAACCAACCATTATAGATACTTTTCATGTCGTGTTCTATTTGGAAGTAAAAATTTGCCCAAAGTAAATACAGCCAAAATTATCGAGTCCCACCATGGCGTTACGTGAACTAGCAACCGACTGCGGACTAAGAAGTCTGAGGACCTTGATGTCAAGATATCGTTCAATCGAGGCGCTAAGATAAGACCTGCGATAAAAGAATTCCCGTTCCTGCAAAACACCACCCTTCATTCCCTTGTTCAATGGACCTTGCTTGCATCTTCATCAAAATACGTACCGCAGCCTCCCGGTCAGCTTAATTGGTCGACACGCCTCAACATCACCTGGCACCTACATCGACACCTTCATCTCTTTTTCTCCCCTCTGTTTGACACTACAGCCGATCTTCTTCGTCAATCATCTGAATTTGAAGCTGTTTTGCCGATTCTTTGTCGCATTGGGATGAAGGTGTCCTCTAACCAGGACTGTGTATAAAAGTATCGTTCATCAGTCGCTTGAGGGTTCTTATCCTCATCAACGATCCTCAACCTCACAACATGGCCGCTAAAATGTCAGTACGCAGCGAATTGCACTTTAACAACATCACCCATACTGACCAACTCAGTTTCGTCTTCGGTAGCATCAACGGTCAGCTCCAGTCTGCGTTCAGCAAACTGTCGACTATACACGCCAAGAATGTTTTCAGCTTCGCCATTGTCACTGGTAATTTGTTTGGTGAAGGCCAAGATGATGAACAGCTCACTGCCCTTCTAGCCGGCGAAATCCAGATCCCATGCCCGACTTACTTCACTGTAGGAACAGTCCCATTACCCGCACAAGTCGTCGAGCGAATCGAGAAGGATGAGGAAATTGCCCCGAACCTCCATTACCTTGGCAAGCGGAGCGTCACCAAGACCTCAGAAGGCGTCCGGATCGTTACTCTGGGTGGAATGCTCGATCCTGCCGTTGTCGCGGGCCAATCCCAGGAGCAGCATTTGCCCTTTCACACCGAAGGCGACATCAAGTCTTTGCGCGGCGCCAACAACGCCGACATCCTTCTGACTACGGTATGGCCGTCCGATGTGTGGAAGAACAGCGCGAAAGCGCGGGAGCAAAACCTCCCCGCCGATGCCATCCCTACCAGCCAAGCAATTGCGGACCTTTGCGCCCATCTGAAGCCTCGCTACCATTTCACTATGTCTCCGGACACCTTCGCCTTTGAGAGAGAGCCATTCTTTCCCGAGTCCAAAGGTGACGACGATAAGGACAAGGGAATTGAACTAACACGGTTCATCTCACTGGCGCCCTGGGCCAATGCGGCCAAGGCTAAGTCGATGTACGCTTTCACTCTCAACCGGGAAACCATTTTTTTGCCTCCCACTGGAAGCACCCTCACGCCCTTCTACAAGCCTGTTGCTGCTCAAAAACGCACAGCCGACGACGCCGGCTTCTCGCGCTTCGCAAACGGAAATAACGAGAACGACCGCAGGCGTCGCAAGCACCAGCGACGCGAACGCTCTCCCCCACCCGGACCGGAACGGTGTTTCTTCTGTCTGTCGAACCCCAACCTGCCCACGCACATGATCTGCAGCATCGGCGAGGAAGCCTATCTTGCTACTGCCAAGGGGCCCCTACCGTCTGCTGAGACATTCAAGTCCCAAGGCTTGGACTTCCCAGGTCATCTCATCATCACGCCCACGCCACACATCCCTTCTCTGAACGTCCCGGCCCTCGCCGAGACCGGTGAAGATGTCAAGAAGACCTTTAAGGAGATGACGCGTTTCCGCGAGTCGCTGCAGGGTATGGTGTCGAAGCAGTCCAAGGGAAAGCTCGGTGCCGTCACCTGGGAGATCAACCGTGCGAGGAACATTCACGTCCATTGGCAGTTTATGCCGATGCCCGCGGAGATGGTGCGTAAGGGACTTGTGGAGGCCGGATTTCAGGTCTTGGCGAAGGATACGAACATAGGAAAGTTTGTGACGAAAGAGTTTGAAACGGCTGATGAGGTTCCGGGTGATTATCTTCGGGTTTGGATCTGGGCGGAGGAGGAGGGCGATGCAAAAAAGGGCGACGCGGAGGGTGGTCAGGTCATTTCGAAGAGTCTGCTGTTGCAGATTGATGAGAATGTTCGTTTTGATCTCCAGTTTCCTCGCAAGGTTATGGCGAAGCTGCTTGGCGAGGAAGCCCGGACTATTTGGCAAGATGTTGGCCAGTCGGTGGAGGAGGAGTCGAAGGATGTTGCGGCGTTTAGAGAGGCTTTCAAGGAGTGGGACTTTACGCTCTAATTGGGAGACTAGACGCCAGGAACAGTATTCACGGAGATCGACTGGAGTTTCATGCGGGTAAAATTTATGGAAGACATTGGGATTTTCGTCGTCGTCGACCTTCTTGATCATCGTTGGCATTTTTACGATTGGACTCGGGATATCAAGGATACAATCTATCCACAGGGCCTTGGGACTTTCCGTGTATTTTCGTTCAATATCTGCAAGAAGCATCTATAGAGAACGTGATGCACTCATTCAGAGAGAAAACCATTATAGTCTTCGCAGTGAGGGCTTCCTGAAGAGGCTACAATAAGCAAGTATCTCTTAGAAAGATATTGCTGAGTATGCATTTATCAGTGAGTTCATTTGTGAGCTCAGATGCAGTCCCTGCCGCCCCACAGGACACAGCGCCCCGCTCTTATCAGCTTATCGTAGTTCCACCCCGGCAGCACCCTGGCCAAAAAATTTCCAGGCTCTCGAGTCTCGCGGGTTGCTGTGCCTTGTCTGTCACTGTCTGTTCTGTTTCGCCTTCATTTGTCATTTTGCTCGCCGCGTGCGAAGCATTCAAACTTCGAACCCACGGTCCGCCTCCTCCCAACCACCGACAACACCACAGGACCGTTGCCCACGATGCCGTCCACCACGTCAGGACGTATCGTCAAATCCTCGAGGGGGGTGAAAAAGACCCCCCATCAAAAGAACCACCGATGGGAGTCTTTCAGCCAAAAGATCTCTAAACTCCATTCGCTCGACCCGCTGCGCAAAGTCCGCCGTCACGACCTCGAAGCCGAAGACCTCAATGCCACCACATCCTACCTGCGCAATGGCCTCGACAAATGGTCCGAACTCAACATCTCCCGCCAATATGTCATGTTCCGGAGACAGGTCACGTCGCTGACCGACTCCCTGGCCCAGATCCTCTACCATGAGGACAGGATTATGGACCTCCTGGTCGAACACACAGAGAAGCACAACAAGGAAACCCTCGAACCGTTGTTGGACCTAATCACCGCCTTCGCCCACGACTTGGGCGTGCGCTTCGAGAAGCACTACCCACGAGCCCTGCGCCTGATCGTCGACCTCGCCAGCAAGGTACACGATGTGGAGGTTATCGAGTGGACCTTCGCCGCCCTGGCCTTCCTTTTCAAATACCTTTCGAGACTCTTAGTCCCCGACTTGCGCCCGACATACGACACAGTTGCCCCCCTGATGGGCAAGGCCAGACAGCCTGGCCACATCGCCAGATTCGCCGCCGAGGCCATGAGCTTCCTGATCAAGAAGGCCGCCGCCCCAAGTCACAAGGCGACGGCGTTGCCCTTGATTGTGCAGCACGTACGGGACGACCTCTACAGCATGGAAGGAACAAAGCAGTACGGTCTTTACAGCCAGGGAATAATGGTCATGTTCGCGGAGGCCATCAAGGGCGCTGGAAACTCGCTACACTCGACAGGACCCGACGTTATCACAGCTTTGGCAAAGGCCGTGCCCGAGGAGGAACTCGATCTTGCATCGGAGAAACCGGCGATCTGGACCGACGTTTGCTGCGGCGTGCTTACTTCCACCATTCACCACTCGACACCCGAGACGTTTGTACCAGTGGAAACGAGAATCTATGAAGATGCGGCGGCTACACAACGACCAATCCTCTTTGTCCAGCTCCTCGGTGTTGCTGCTGGCGTTCGCCAGGGAATACGAATCAACGACTGGGCGCTCCTTGTTAAGACGTTGGGTCAACTACTTACGGCTCTCTCGACATATAAGGACAATGCGGAGTTCATGGTCTCACCACGGTTATGGGAGCGCATAATGGTGAATGCGGCTATCATTTGGGCGCAAGCCCCTATCGATGCTCTCCTTCCCTGTCTAACGGCCTTCAACGCCGCTATGACGAAGGAGCCTCTCATGAGGTGGTATATCCCCTTTTGCTCTTACTTGTCAGACTTGAACCCCGATCGATTTAGGGGACTATTTCAGAAAGATTTCCAAAAGTAAGCTTTTCTTTCTCCCCCTCCTGGGCATGGCTGTTTCTAACATTTTGCAGATTTATTGTAGCACATTGGTCTGATGCCGCCAACGAAGATTTGCTTTGTGTACTAATACCGCACATGATCGAGACGGGTGGTCTTCCTAGCCCCCACGCGAAGGAGGCCTTCCCTCTGCCACAATCATGGCAGGACCAGATTGTGAACAAGTTTGTTCGACTCGAAGATACTCCCTTTCCCGAGAGCGGTGGTTTTGGCAAGGACCGCGAAACTTGGAAGGAAAAGTGTCTGCCGATGTACTCTGGTCTCCTGCGTGTGTTGGAGTCTACCTCCGTACATCCGTCCACGAATGCTCGGATAGCAGAAGTCCTGCTTAAGAAGCTCAAACTCGCTCTCCGGCCGTCTTCATCCCTCCCGACCGATGAGGCCAACTTCATCGTCAGTGATGGGTTCCGTGCCTACCTGAGAATGTGCGCGGCCGCGGGGTCTGTCGATCTCAGCCTTGCGCCGTTACTCAGAGCCGCTGCGCCGAGATTCTGCCGTCTGCCAAAGTTCCTGGAGGCTTTGCTGGATTACGAGCAAGAACTGAACCGCAAGTCTAAGCGCTCACCGGAAGCTAATAACGCTCGGGGAAACAGCCCTCAAGAGGAGGATCCTTTGGTGAAGTCTCTCATCAAGAACCTCGCTTCTACTTCACACGACCTTCGCCTGGTTTCCTTGCGGATTCTCGACGTCCTGGAGACGACACCTGATTCGAACGCGGCTTTGTCGACCATGATTCAAATGGAAGAGCTTCCCTTGAACATGCAGAGCGTCCGAACAGTCGCTGTGCATCTGCGAAAACTCGGCCAAATCTATCATCATATCGAGGAGAGCTCGTGGCTGGTCCAAGCTGTCCCGTCCTTCCTTTTCGGCCTCACAACGGTACAACTCTCGCCCGTCTGGGATGACGCGGTGGAAGCGATGAAGAAGGTTTCGGAGACTAAGCATGGTGAAGAGATCGTTGCCGAGCTGGCCTTTGAGTGGCTTGAGGTGCCGTCCCCTCGCTGGACTGGCCCCTTCAAGCCCCCTATTGATGACAATCGCAAAGCTATGAACGACTTCGAGTGTACGGGTCTTATGAGACTGCAGGAAGCCGCCGAGAAAACCGGCAAGGTCGTCAGCGAATTGTCGCAGAAGATGCTTAGCACCTTCGAAGAGGGACAAAAGGCGGTGGAACTTCGCTCGGATCGCGCCCGCAGCAAGGCTCTCAAGGTGTTTACTGCTCTTCCTGGTTCTGCTGAAAAGCGCTCGAGGAGGATCGTCCCGTACCTTCTCTCCTTCACGGAAGAGGGTGAGACTCCGGCTGCCGAGGAGAACGAGGATCAGCCCTTTTCCGAGGAAGACGGAAGCTGGTCGCTTCAGGACAGGAAGGCCCTCGTGGGCGTCTTCTCCCACTTTGGCAACCCCAAGGTGTTGTGGCAAAGCCAGAAGGTTTACACTGCGCTTCTGAAGCTGCTGGCCAATGGTGACATCGAGCTCCAGAAGATGGCGCTCAAGGCGATCCTGGCGTGGAAGAGTGATGCCATCAAGCCGTATCAGGAACATCTCGAGTATCTCCTTGACGAAGCGCGCTTCAAGAATGAACTCACTGTCCTCTTCCAGGGTGACAACAAGATCCGCCCTGAGCATCGTGCTGAGCTGATGCCCGTGCTCCTTCGCTTACTGTATGGTCGGACCATCTCCAAGAAGGGCGCGGCTAGCGGACGTCACGGTCTTCATAACACGCGTTTGGCCGTCATTAGACAGCTGGATGTCGTTGATATGGGCAAATTCTTGGACATCGCCCTTGGCGAGCTCCGCAGTGTCCGCATCCTGGACGGCGATGTTGTCAAAGAGAGCACCTTTGCCGAGGAGCTCATCCCGGTTCGCAAGCAGGTCGGTCTGCTGAACATGGTTGAGGCAATCATCAATGAGCTCGGCACCGCTGTTGTTCCGTATATGGAAGCGCTCGTCAACGCTGTCTTGTTCTGTTTGATTACCGCCTGCAGAAACCTGGGCGGTGCCTCCGAAGATCCGGAGGAGAAGGAGGCAGAGCCGGTACTGAATGCTTCTCTGTACAAGGTGGTGAGGACCAGTGGTCTCAAGTGTCTCGGCAAGCTGTTTCAGAATGCGCAGACGTTTGACTGGACGGCGTACGAGAACGTGATGGTGAAGGAGATCGTCAGCCCTCGCATCGAGAAGCTCCCGGGCGAGACTACCCAGGGTGTTTCTGGCGTCTGGAGGCTCCTGTCGACTTGGGCCGTTCTGCCCAAGGCTGCCATATTCCTTAACATCGACAAGCGCATCCTTCCCAAGGTCATCGAGAGTCTTGGTGTCGAGAAGGGCAAGGATGAGGTCAAGATCCACGCGCTCGAGATCCTCAAGAGCCTTATCAATCTCGCCCAAGCTCCCGCGGCTGAGTCCGAGTACAATGAGCTCATTAAAGATGAGCTTTTGGTACCGAATGCCAATCTGATGCTCAAGGAGATTGGTGGTCTGCTCCGTGACCAGACCGAGATTGGAAAAGACCTTCTCGGTACTGCCGTCGATACCGTTGTTCTCCTTGCGCCAATTGTTCAGACCTCCTCCGCCAGCGTTCAGGAGATGGTGGATATTGCTACCTACTTGCTCAATCAGCCATCCCGCCGCGTCAGCCCCAAGATCAAGGGTTCCATTCTGCTCATTCTCAAGCAGTTCCTTGTTCTGGAAGACGTTCAGACAAATGCGGAGCTGAAGAAGAGAGTTTACGACACCGTTTCTTCGCTCTTCGGATACTTCAAGGATAAGGAGAACAGAGAGACGCTTGCCCAAGTCTTGCTCGTGTTTGCTTCTACGGAGCCCTGGGCTCAGGAGGTGGCGGATATCTGCCGTGACCTTAACTCGTACAAGGTCAAGAGATTGGACGAGCCGGACTACAACACCCGACTCACTGCCTTCAACAAAATCTCCGGAGACCGCGAGACTCCTTTCACGGTTGACGAGTGGATGCCATTGCTGCATAACCTGTTGTTCTATATCAACCAGGACGAGGAGTTCGGTGTGCTGTCAACCAACTCTGCTGATGGACTGTGCCAGTTCATCAGGGCGGCCGAGGCAGCCTGGGCTGGTCCGCAACAAGATGCTTATCTTGGCATTATGTCCGATATCATCTTGCCTGCCATCTATGCAGGGTCCAGGGAGGCTTCGGAGACTGTCCGCCGTGAGGTCGTGCGTGTCTTCGGATACTTGGTCGCTCACCTCCCCAAATGGGACCAGGTGTCTGACTTGACCTTGTTGGTCCCTGCCTCCGATGAGTCTGACAAGGCGTTCTTCTTCCACGTCATGAGTCCTGCTATCGCCAGACAGCTGCAGGCCCTGAAAATCTTGGAATCGGCTAACGAGAGGAGCCAGTTCCGCTCTAAGCACATCAGCCAGTTCTTCATTCCTCTCCTGGAACACTTCATCTTCGCCAAGGTTGATGGAGGTGATGATCATGGTCTTAGTGGACAGGCTATTACTACCATCGGCGGGTTGACTGCCTCATTGGAGTGGCAGCAGTACCGCGCTATTCTGCGTCGCTTCGTTTCTTACATCGAGTCGAAGCCAGAATGGCAGAAGCGTCTCATCCGTCTGCTTGAGAAGGAGGTCGATGTGTTGCGTACCGCTATTGCGCAGAGGCCCAATCCCGACGCCATGGAGGTTGATGGTGTTGAGCCTCCCAAGCTTCGCAGGCTTGCTTCTACCATCCCTGATCAGGAGAAGCTTAGCGCTGAGATTGTAAACAACTTCTTGCCCACCCCTATCAAGCACCTCCACGAGAAGGACGAGGCCACGGTCAGCACCAGAGTTCCCGTTGGTGTGATCATTGCTAAGCTCGCCACTCTCCTTCCCGAGCCGCTGCTCAACGAGAAGCTGCCCGGTGTGCTCACCGACATTTGCCATATTCTCAGGAGTAAGGCTTGGGATGCTCGTGAGATGGCTCGCGATACTCTTTCCAAGATCGCGGTCATTTTGGGTCCCGAGAGGTTTGAGTTCATCCTCAAGGAACTGCGCGGCGCTCTCATCAGAGGTCACCAGCTTCACGTTCTGTCTTATACCCTTCATTCCATGTTGTTGGCTGTCATCCCGACCTTCAAGCAAGGTGATCTCGACTACTGCCTCTCCACCATCATGGCCGTCATCATGGATGATATCTTTGGTGCTGCCGGTCAAGAGAAGGATGCCGAGGACTATGTCAGCAAGATGAAGGAGGTGAAGAGCAGCAAGAGTCAAGACTCCATGGAGCTGATTGCCAAGACTGCGTCTATTACACGTCTCAGCGATCTTACCATGCCCTTGCAAGCGCTTCTGCTCGAGAAGCTTGATCTGAGGACTGCTCGCAAGATCGATGAGCTTCTTACCCGCATTACCAAGGGTCTCCTGGAGAACCCGGCCGCTGCCTCTCAAGAGATCCTTGTGTTCTGTTACGAGGTCACGCAGGAGGTGTACAAGGCTCAGAAACCCGAGGATGCGCCCAAGATGGATCCCCGCCTGAAGAGATACATTGTCCAGAAGGCCGCCAAGAGGGCCGATGGAGGAATCACCGCCAAGTACACGTTCAAGCTCATCAGATTTGCCATCGATATCCTTCGTGCTGTCCTCAAGAAGCACGATAACCTGCGCACAGCCAGCAATATTGCCGGATTCATGCCTCTGCTCGGTGATGCCGTCTTGTCCACCGAGGAGGAGGTCAAGGTTGCGGCCTTCAAGCTGCTTGTCGTCCTTGTCAAGGTCCCCTTCAAGAATGGCGATTCCACCGCCCTCTACAAGGTGGCTACCAAGGAAGCTATCAAGTCCTTGTCCTTGTCTCCCTCGACCGCGTCGGAGCTTGCACAGGCGGCGTTGAAGCTCATCTCTGTCGTCCTCCGGGACAGGCGTGAGATCCCCATCAAGGAGCCCGCTCTTGACATGCTGCTTAGCAAGTTGAAGGATGACCTGACTGAGCCTCTCTATCGCCACGTCACCTTCAACTTCCTCCGTTCCGTTCTTGACCGTAAGTTGGAGACGGCCTCGGTTTACGACACTCTCGACCACGTCGGCACTGTCATGATCACCAACGACGACAAGGACACCCGTGATCTGGCTCGCGGTGCTTTCTTCCAGTTCCTTCGTGAATATCCCCAGAAGAGGAACAGGTGGGAGAAACAGCTCAAGTTCATCGTGGCCAACCTCAAGTACGAGCGTGAGGGTGGTCGCTTGTCGGTCATGGAGGTCATCAATCTCTTGCTCAAGAAGACGTCTGACGACTTCGTCCAGGAGGTGGCAGCGACATGCTTCATTCCCCTTGTGTTCGTCCTGGCCAACGACGACAGCGAGAAGTGCAGACTTGCTGCCGCCGAGCTGATCAAGGAGACTTTCCGCGTGGCCGACAAGGAGCGTCTGGCCAAGTTCATGACTTTGATGCGCAACTGGGCCGAGCAAGGCGAGAACATGGCGGTTCTCAAGCTCGCCATCCAGGCATTCGGACTCTACTTCGAAGGTCGCGAACCCTCGTCCAAGGATAAGAAGGACGTCAACCTCGTCGTCGACAAGATCACCAAGGTTCTCGGTGACGAAGAGACCGTCCAGTCCAACTGGGAGCTTGTCGATACCAGTCTTAACACCGTGCAGACCCTCGTCGCCCAGCATCCCCAGAAGGTCTTGTCGCCTGCTTCTGACCTCTTGTGGACCGAAGTCCGCGACACTCTTGCTCACGAGAACCCCACCGTGAAGCTCACCGCGACCAAGCTTCTCAGCATGTACCTCGCAGACTTTGCCCAGAACGCCGGCCAGCAAGCGCAAGCGCCTCTCCACGGTTCCCACGGCCGCGAGCTGAGCAAGGAAGAAATCAGCGACCTTGTCCGCCTGGCACTCAACACCTTCAACGTGCCCGAGGTTGACGAGCCGCTGGCTCACGAGGTGGTCCAGATCTTGCTCTTCCTCGGCAGCTACCTCGACGCCAAACACACCGACTCCGACGACGAGGCCGGTGCCGCAGGTGCCGATGAGAAGGAGGAAGAACTCGAAGACGAAGCCGAAGAGGAAGAAGAAGTCGGCATCCTGACAACCAAAAAGAAGAACAAGAACCGAGGTCCCGTAGACATGGGCTACCTCTTCTACAAGCTCGCATCCATCATTCGCAAGGAACGCGCCGCGCGCCCGGAGATGCTCGTGTCCAAGCTGGCCGCCATGGACCTGCTCGAGGCCTTTTGCGAGAGATCCGAGCCGTCGACTCTTCTGGGTTCCGTCAAGACCATCATCCGCCCGCTTCGCAACCTTACGGACCCGTCCATCCCGGGCCCCTTCTCGCTGAACGAGGTGTTCAAGACCCGCTACGAGTTGCTCAAGACCAAGGCCCTTTCGGTCCTGGACGTGCTGCAGCGCAAGCTGGGAAGCTCGGAGTATACCAAGGCGTTGCTGGCTGTTGGTGAGGATATCCGCGAGAGGAGATATGCGAGAAGCAGCAAGAGGAAGATTGAGGCGATTACGGCGCCGGAGAAGTACGGACGGGAGAAGAGGAAGAAGTTTGAGAAGAAGAAGGAGAAGAGGAAGGAGAAGGGCAGGGAGGCGAGGGATGCTAGGCAGGCTTTCCATGCCAGTTAGAGAGAGGGTGATTGATGATGTAGGTGAAAGAAAGATAGGAATACCCGGTGGTTGTGGTACGTTTTTTCTTTTCTGTGGTTGGGCCAAGGTTGGGGAAAAGTCTAGAACGTCATTTAATGGGAGTTTTGAAGCATTTTCCGGTTGGTTATAGAACAATTTTCCTCACTTGAATTTGTGTCACAGTATAAGACTGCATGCTTCTCTACGTGATGACCATAGCTAGAAGGTAGGTCGGTATCATCATTGTCTTGGTGAACCGTACGTGCATCACACGCCATGGTTTAGGCCGCATCCCATATGGCAATTAGGGAAGTTCTATCACTCGTCCAGAAATCAAATCGCAGTCGTGCCTCATGGTTTAGAATTACATGCTAAGCATCATCACTCCCTGCCTGCTTCGTCCGTTCATCCACAAATAGGTATCCCAGAGGTTAGTCCCTCCTTACTCCTCCATCTTGTCTCCGCCCTCTTTCGTTTCCTCTTCCTCCTCAACGTCCTTCGCAGTCATGCGCTCCGCATACTTCTCCGCCTCCTTCCGCAAAGCCTCGGGCACCTCCTGGTGACGACCCTTCGTGGGACCATCCGCCCCGCTGATCCACGTCATCTCGAGCTCGAACTCCTTGTCCTTGTTGTCGTCGTGGGCAACATAAATGATGCGCGCCGCCTCCTTGACCGCCTCCTCGAGCGTCAGGCCCGTCGACTCGCCGTCGCCGCTGAGGTCCAGCTTCTCGAGCTCCGCCTTGGCCGCCTGCCTGCCCTTGCCCGTCGCGGCGCCGTAGTAGCCCCAGTAGAGGCCCGATGGCTCCACCATGTACAGGAACGGACCGCCGTGCTTCTTGCCCTCCACCTTGCCGCCGGCGCCGACGGATGGGCCGCTGCCGACCTCGCCGTCCACGGGCGTCTCGAGCTCGCTGTCGTAGCCGCCGATGATGGCCGTGATGCCGAAGGGTCGCACCGATTGGTACAGCGTGTAGGCTTGCATGTAACCGCCCATGCGGCCGGCCAGGTCTTTTGTCGAGATGGGCGTCTTGTAGTTGTCGCGCCAGCCGCGCGCCTCGTCGCGGGCGCGGTCCACGAAGTGTCTACCGTCAGGGATCATGCCGGAGTATACCTATCGATGACGCGGTTTGTAGTTAGCATTTGTCGATCGAACCATGTTACATGTTATTGGAGGGGCGGGAAGATCAGGCTGTGTGTGTGGTATGTTCGTTGCGATGTGGCGGGGAGAGGGTGGTAAAGCTGGCTGCTGCCCCGCAGACGATCGAAGCTCGCTGATGATGAATCCCCCCCCCCCCCAAAAACAACAGAGGGATAGAAACGGAAATAAAACGTACAATGCCCAAATGCCTGTCGACTGTCGCAATGCGCTTGTTGGCGCCCTGCTTGAGCAGCTTGGATGTGATAACCTTCTCCGCCGCCAACACGATGCCGTCCTTGCAGCGGATGCCGATCGAGGTGCTGCCGTTTTCAACTGCCTTGACGGCATATTCGACTTGGAAGTTGCGGCCATCGGGGGAGAAAATGGAGTTGGCAAGATCGTAGCCTGTTCCTATGGAAGTCTATTTGTGGTTGAAGGCGACTTGGTCAGTTTCGCTTCATTTTGAGAACCATGACGCTTCTGCGCCCGGTTGCGGTTTTGGTTATTTGGAAGATGGATGCCCGCTAAACGAGGGGAGTGCCGGGGGTGGTTGAACAAGACGTACCATTGTGGCTTAAATGTGAAGGTGGTGATATGCGATGCCGATGTTTTGTTGGTGTTTCCAGGTTCAAAAAGACGGAGAGGTTCGCGCTGTACTGGCTCAGGCTAGAAGGTGGGTTGCTCAAGAAATGGGTCGTCGAGATCGGTTTGTTTGGAGAGGTGATGGTGGTGGTGTTGCTGGTAGCTGCTGCTGCTATTGCTTCAGTTCAAGGTGAGCTCCATCAGGCAGCCTGGGAGCTGCGTAGCACTGTTGCCCCGTAGCACCTTCCCTCTGCTGCTCCACTGCCGTGCGGGATGGAAGCTTGGTCGTCTTGAGGCTGAAGTGCTGTGGCGTTTGTAAAGCTTCAGCCATGGAACAGCCAGCCTTGCAATTTTCCAGCCACATCTATTTCATCACCGGCCACATATAATGTCAGGAACACCCCACAGGCCGTCCCAGCAAAGCGGAAACGCCCCCTTTTCGAAGTAAACAAATGATCGTATCACCAATGGACGAACGCTTATACCTTCCTAGATACATCACAGGATGGAAGACGAAGCTCTCACAAGCATCATAGAAAGGATTGGACGCAGAATAAGTCTACATAATTTCAACCATTGGGAGATGCATGGTATCATCCCTGGAATCATCTAACTCTGCGCTTCCCAGTCTCTTGAATAGATTCACCTGACTGAATCGGTCTGAGAAGAAGTGTGTAGCAAGTTGAAGCAACATATGTAATCGTGTACATGAAACAAGAAGCCAAACTGAAGAGTCAGATCACCAGTAAGGCCTGGTGAGTTCTGTCTTCCCAAGACTAACACACACACAGACAGTGATACTTCAAAGTCCGCCAACAGCATGGAAATCCCAGCAGAAAAATACATAGTTATACATCCCAAAAGAAAGCAACGCCATGCATAAGTCAAACAGCCTCCCGCGTTCCTCCCATGACACAAATGAACATATAGAATGACTTCCAGCTCACAGCATCTCCTCATCATCCCTGTACGCCATCAATCTTCCGTATTGGTTCTCCATGGCGCTTTGTTGTTGCCTCCAGTCCACCCCCGAGTTGGCATAAACAGGGTCCGAGTGCGCGGGGTTAAAAGTCGGGCCACCGGTGGCAATGGTGAGGGTCTTGGTCCGTTCCACAGATTCAGCAAATGCTCGACGGGCGGACTCTTCATACTCACGGCGAGCCATTTCCTCATAACCCGAGGCCATGTAGGGCTCCATATCATGAACTGAGTCCGCCGCGATCCAACGTCCATCGCCTGCCTGGACCGGGGTCAGGGGAGTTCCATCGAGACTCATGGTCACTTCTTGTTCAGCAACCTGCTGCTGTTGTTGTTGCTGTTGCTCCCATCGGTTCTTGGCCAGGATCTCTTCCTGGTTGACGCTTGTTATGCTCCAGCCCATTGTAGGGTTGTCGCTACGGTTTGTAGGAGGGCAGTTGCGCCAAAGATCAATCAGCCTGTAGCGCTGCGGATCGTCCACTGATTTGAAAAGCTGGAGCTGGGCACGGGACAGGCCTGCTGTGTTGACTTGGTGCTTTCTGAGGACAGCTTCAACTTCAGAAAGTGCTGGCGGCTCCGAAGTCCCTCTGGGGGCAGGCTGTGATGGTTGCGTATCCTGGGTACGAACATGGGCTGAGTGGTTGTAATGCGCCGAGATGTAGACAATCTTCGGTTCTTGGTTCGGGACCTGGACCTGTGTGAGTTGCTGAACAGGCTCCAGGGAGAAGTTTCGAGAAAAGAGATCAGCGAGTTCGTCGTGTGATTGCATCTTGACGAGATTCAAAAAGGAATGCGGAATCGTCTGTGTTATTATTCTGTGATGTCATAAAATATTGTTAGCATGTGACACATGGAAAGTTTGTAAGATGTGACTAGAGGGCTGTGGTAAGAACAGCTTCGTTGCACATTACCTGAGACTCGGATTTGTTCTTTTCCTTGGTAGTCTTGAAGACGCCTGTTGTTGGTTGGTTACACGACCTTTCTGCTGTGCAGTTGGGGCTAAGGAGGTTTGGTGATATCTAGCTAGCTGGTTGAGCAAAGCAAGAAGTGGCAGCAAGAACGAAGAGCTTGTACCGAGCTGTGGAAACGGATGTATGCTTGTACAACTCGTTTGTATTTGGTGTCTACTATTTAAGGCAAAGTGAGGGGTTCTCGACCGACTCTTGATAGCACGAGAGACGGTGACTCGAAGGTGGAGATACAAGCGGTGAAGATACGGTTTCCTCCCGCGGTATGGAGAGGTGAATGGAGATCAGAATGTTCGTGGTCTGGGATGAGCAACTAGAAATGGGAACGTGACTTGTGTTTAGTGCTTTGCCGCAGTTTGTCCAGGTCGTCGAACTTTGTGAACTTTCGAAAGTCTGATGATTGCCGGCGGGCTACTTTGGTGCGGGTAGTTCGAGGTGAAGAGAAATGGAAAAGCAGGATGAGATATAAAACCGGAGATCATGCGAGGACTGGTCCGAGGGAAATAAGACTTCTTATTCTGGCAGGCAGGTTCGAAATATCCTCGTGATGAAGTGTATGATGTGAACGGAAGTGCACGCACATTGGCATGCAAGAGCAAGAAGCGTTGGGAAATAGAGGGGCAAGGCAGGCACACCTGGGTTTGGGACGGCGGCGGGGAGGCGGGGGGAATGAGTGCCAACTAGCGGTATTCGGGCGGCAGATACACCCGGTCAGGGACGCTAGGCTCATGATTGAAGAAGAATCACCCGGCGGCACCACCATAGGAAGACGACGTTTGGACCGACATTGACCATTCAAGAAAGTCGATCATGCTTCGACGGCTCCCCAGGGTGCTATTCCGTGTGATACCAACACCCCAAATACAGCATCGAGAGCCCCCAAATGGTGACCAGATGCAGGTCCTGTCGCCGGTGGTTGCATGGATATTGCCCATCAGGCAGCAAAAACTGCCTCCAGCACTTTGCTGAGACCATCAAGAGCAAACGAGTTTCGAGAACGTGAACTTTGGTGCAATGTTTGGTGGTTGGGTTAGGCAGTCACGCAGTCAGGCTGTTAGCGTCATCACCGCAATCATGCGTCCATCTGAATGAAAGGACGACATGAAACAGCCCGGCCTGGAGCGGCTATCAATCGAGCCCTTCCGCCCAATCACCCGGGAAAGAACTGAGGCATATGATAAATCGGAAAGATACTTCGCTCAGGTAGGGGGAAGAGCAGCCATATTCAGACCTCACATCCTGTCTTCAGGATTGGTACGGAACAGGAATCTTGAGCCATGAATTTCATGAGATTCCACTGAAGTTGATTGACGACTCGGAAGGAAATATGGAATCGAATGTTGATAGCCGAAGTGATGACAGGAAAAGGGTCCAGAACGTGAATAAGACATCCCCGCTGAGGAAATGGCCCACAGGCGGGCTCGGCGGGGTCAGAGCCAGGCTCCATCGGGCTGTAACTGTAACAGGGATCGGCTTGAAGAGCAGCCACGTGCAAGACTGTAAAGTGCTTCTGATTGGGTAACCTCTGTCAAACAAGCCACATTTACCCGCCACGGATGACGTTGATCTTGACACTGCTGGGACCAAGACGCCAGGGACCATCTTCACAGTTCACGGCTGGGAGGCCAGTCATTCCTCCCATCTTCACGTTCAGCACGATTTTATTGTTTTCGGACGAATAAACAGCCGTCGCAAGTGAGGCAGCCCATTGAACAGCTATCCCTTCAGTTTTGAGTCGGTCTCTTTTGAGTTTGCTCCGGAGTATCCCCTCACAGGCCTAGCGGTGTTAGTGTTGGTTATCCACTTTGCTTTTGCCGGTGATCTATCTTATCAAACATCGTCCTCGAAACCAGTCCCTTTTATTTTTCCTATACATCTCCTCCTTTGGGCTGTCCATCATTAGCTTTCATACTTGCACACTTACAAGCAGCTATATCTCGCGTAACCAAGACCTCCTTACGATGCCTACCGCTCGCCCACCCAATTACTGTCAGTAAAAGAGACTTCAGCTTCCTCAACGAGCCAAGTACTCGCGCGGCAAGGCAAGACCTATCGCTAACACGTCCTCTCATAGATGCGATCCTGGGGCTTTCTCCAACAGCCTCGACAAATCAGATTCGCGATGCCTACAAACGGTACGACAACAATTTTCCTTACTCACAACTACATACTACACGAAATGATGATCATCAACTAACAAGTTCATGATAACCATGACAGCGCCGCCCTCAAGACGCACCCAGACCGCGTAGCAGCCGACGCCCCCGACCGCGCCGAGCGCACCCGCAAGTTCCAGCTAGTCAACGACGCCTATTACACCCTCTCCGACCCTCTCCGACGCAGGGAATATGACGAGCAGCGCAAGATCTTCGGTGTCGGCAGCGACTACGTCCCACCATCGTCAGCCTCCTCATCCTGGGGCGGTAGTACCGCAGGCGGCTTCGACAACACCTCCGATCCCTTTGCTGAAGCTGAAGCGGGCGCCGGTGCGGGCGCCGGCTCCAGCCCAGCCGGCCAGGCCTTCTCGTGGGCGTGGAACTTCTTCACCAAGCAGAGACAAAACAGCAACGGTGCGCAACAACAGGACCGCGAGCAAACGCAAAACGAGCAGTTCGCCGATGTCTTCGAGGAGATGCTGCGCGAGGAAGGCATGGCGGAGTCCGACAACAGGCCGAACAACAAGTTCTGGAGCTTGCTGGGCGGACTCAGCGGTGGCGTAATGGGTTTCATCGTCGCGAACGTGCCCGGTCTGTTGGCTGGTGCGGTTGCGGGCAACAGATTGGGCGCTATCAGAGACGCAAAGGGGAAGAGCGTCTATGCCGTATTTCAGGTAAGTGCCCTGGGTGTTGACTTCTTGAGAGAAGAAGATTCGGACGACGACAGCGGTCTCGATTATGAATGATTTGACTTTGATGATTATATCGGACATTACTCTAATTGGTTCTTCCTCTTTTCTTCTCGTTTACAGGAACTCCCTCAAGACGACAAGGCGAGACTTCTTACCCAGTTGGCGGCCAAGGTGTTCAGCCATACTGTCGGAATCTGATCAGCTTCTTTGATCTGAGCTGGGCGTACGGGCTGTTGTTTCTTTCTCGGGTAAATATAAACAGGGATCATGATGGGTAACGACCGGGTTTGTTTGGAGTTTTGGCTGGGCTTGGGGGAAAGTTGATGACTTACGACAGAAATTCGATACTGGGGCGTGGAGACGAGAGAGGGATCAGATACGAATCACAAAACTAGACAATTGGAGAAGGAGGGCGCTTTCTAACTATACCAGGATTCTGTGTAAATGGTTTCACTTTTTTCTAGTAGCTGGGGTGATTCGAATCTTGACGGGTAGCAATGGCATCCCACTCGCAACATATTCCGTTTCATATTGACGACGATTTTCAAAAAAAAAACCGAATGCCCCGACATGCGTGCAAACTCCCACAAAATACAATGTCAAAGCAACAAAAAGATATTAAAAAAAGGATCGAAAAAGAATGGGCGCTCAAAAGCACCTTTTGATTACGATCCACCCAGGGGTCGAACCTGGAACCTCCTGATTCGTAGTCAGACGCTCTGCCATTGAGCCAGCGGACCATACGCAATTTGTTGAAGTTTTTCTAGGATGCTGTAACCTATAAACCCACTGTGTGGCCCCTGCACCATGAAGAAACCAAATCGCTGACAAAGACCATGACAAACTTGTCAAAAGACTATTCTTGTCCACTACACATATAGACCATAAATAACAATTGTCTATCTTTTTAGTAACCAAAAAACCTCATATGTTTAAATGATAGATATCCTTCTTTTATTTTATTTTCTCTCTCCCCAACTCATCCATTCACACAAATGTTCTCACCCGTCGCGTTCACCTCTTCTTATTCTTGCGCTTTCCAGCCTTGTTACCGCCCTGTTGCTTCTGGCTGCCCGTAGACTTGGCCTGTCCCAGCTCATCTACGCTCTTCTCCAGCAACTCAAAGTCCTCGGCGGAGTCGGTGGTGCTCGGCGTGGCCTTGCCAGGCTCCGAGTCATTGTCATCGTGATCGGAGCCGGCAACTTCCTCGTACTCTTCGTCATTGATGTCGTCAGTATTGCGCTTCTTGGAGAAGAGACGGCCGATGGTGAGGCCGTAGACGAAGAGGGGGAGGCGGACGATGGCGGTGTCGGAGATGGTTGGGCGGTGGAGTTCGTTGGGCTTTTTTTTGGTCAGTTAGTTTGCTGGTGCTTTTCAGTTGTCTTTGTGGGAAGAAATAATGGAGGCGAACTTACGTCAAGCAGATACTCGGCCGTGTTACCCTCCTCGTCGTCCTGCTCGAGGTAGACATCGCCCAACGAATCCACAACAAGGACCTTGCCGTTCTCGGCAACGACCCTCTTCTTGGCGCCAGTTGGTCCGTTACCCTGGGCAGCAGGCTGGGGAGTGGCCGAGCCGGAGGCGGGAGCGGAAGCGGCAGCGGCAGCGGCTTGCTGGCCGCGACGGCCACGGCGGCTGGTGGTCTTCTGGCTGTTGTCCTGCTTGTCCTTCTTGGCGTCGCGCTCCTGCATTCTGCGCATCTTGCGGTTCATGGGGATGATGTTTCCGTCTTCGTCTTCCATCATCTGCGGCTGGGCGGGCGGGGGAGGAGGAGGAGGAGGAGGAGCGGCAACCGGAGCGGCATCGACACCGGGGATGTTGAGGTTCTCGCCCCAAGCGGCATGGCGTGCAAACTTGATGTAACGCTCGACGAACTCGCGCTGGCGCTTCCAGCTCATGTAAAGGGCAAGGTAGTGGGCGGCGCCGCCGGCGAAGAGGAAAACGCCCGCGATCGCGGTGCCCAGGCCGGGCCGGTAGCGGTTGTAGTAGTACTCGGTGCCCTTCCACGTAGGAAAGCCGTTGCTGAGGAAATGGTCGTAGCGATCGCGCATTGGGCCGCGGAGGATGTTGGTGACGATGGACAGGCGGGCCTGGCGCTCCGAGGCGCGCTTGACGGCCGCCTTGACCTCGGCGTTCGTGGGAGGCTTGATCACCTGGGGAATCGGCTTGCCGCCGGTCTGTTGCTGCAGCTTGGCCTTCTCCTTCTGGGCCTTGACGCGCTCAGCTTGGAGCTGCTGCTTGACCTTGTCAGGGTGCAGCTGACGGGCCTTCTTCTTGTAGGCCTTGTTGATGTCATCGAGACTGGCGGACTTGCTGACGCCGAGGAACTCGTAGAAGGTGACGTCGGGCCCCTCATGGGCAATGAGCTCGTCGCGGACTCGGAAGATTTCGCGGTCTGTGTCGTACAAGACTATGTTAGAATTGGAAGTTCCTTTTCTCTTTCTACATCTTCATGTATAGCCATCTGCCATCATAGCCTATCCCAGCTTGTGTCGTGCAGGGATCGTCAACACAATTGTTGGGCCGGGGGACGCTTTCGAAACCGTGGGAAGAGTAGATGACTTGCCTTCCTTAGACCACGCTGCCGTAAGCGGCGTCAATAAGGCCAAAAGGCCGAGGGATAGCGCCGAAAATCTCATGATTGCATTATTGTCTGGTGTTGAACACTCGGCGTTCCTGTCGTGCTCAGGCAAAGGGAGGATGTAAGAAAGTGCCAGCGGCTTGTTTTAAAAGTTTCAGGGGACACCTTTTGCGCGATTGGGTCAATGTAGCCACTGCATCGTATTGGCTTGGCGGGGTTTAAGCAGAAGGCCAGCTGGCATCCAGCAGTTCGCTTTGTCCGCCCTTTAAACTATAGAATCTGTAGGGTTAGGGTCTGAAATGGTTGACCCAAAGGAAGCGAGAGTGTAAAAGACGATGATTTCACTCCTTCAACACTCGGCTGTAGAACCTTCTTTCCAATTGCCTCTATTCAGTTCGAGAATTAATGGCTTGTGGACCTTCTAGTCAGGCCATCGATTTCAGCGTGGTATGTTTGGAGTCATCCTTTGAGTTCAAAGAGACACCACCAATTGTCGAAGATGGTCTCTGACCCGTATCTCAGTCAACCCACGAGCCCGGGATGGCAAGAGGCGGGTTTTCAATCATCCTCCAGAAATCTTCCACGAAGCCGAAGAAAACTTAGTCCTCAGGTTTTGGGCCGTAAGCAACCCGGTAAGGAGAAGCCGGCCCGGATTTTCGCCATCTTCGAAAATGTTGTATCTCTTCAGTCTCATAAACCGCCTCCGGTCGAAACGCACCTTTCCTCGATGGAGTTGTTTGAATGTCTTCATTTCCAGTTTCCCGTAGCTTTCCAAGTCTATACCACCCGACTGCAGATCGTGTAGCCAGTTACTCTCTGGAAATGCTTGCGCTGTTTACTCTGAAATTTGCCATAATAAGAGCATTCACAAGCCTCCAGAAGCACCCAGAAAAGGGCCGAACCCTCGGGCTTAGATGGCTTCCACGCGATATGTTTGTGATTACTAATGGAAGCCAAGTCTCGGACGAGATCCGAATAGAGAGACCATTCCCACTCCAAGTCTCGCCAGCATTCGTCAAGCTTGCGGCACTGGGCCTTTTTGGGGTGATGTGAGTATGGCGATTCCCTCGAAAACATGGCACTGCGTCTGGCAAGATTCCTAAAGGTAAAGAGCCAAGAAGTGCATGCCATTTCAGATCGGTCAGTCCAAACAGACGCGATGAAAGTCCATATCGAAATATACTCCGGTGATGTCCATCCCACTTGTACGGTAACCAGGTCACTTGCTGATATGCCGTGGTGCCCCCACAGGAGCCGCCTGATGACCGTTGGGTGAGTAGAAATCCAATCACTTAGAGGACTGGTGGCAAAGTCCAACCTCCAAGTGATATGCCATGATGGAAGCTCTGGGGCATACATGCTGACATATGTGTCGAAAAGGTCAGCATTCTCTAATACCATTTTCAAATGCTCGTAAACTCCGCCAACCACTTCTCTGTCCCACAGGAGGTCAGAAACAGAAGACGATGGTGAGTGGTAAACTTTGGTCAGTATTTTATGAAAATCATCCGGAAGTTCGCCGTTTAATATCAGATGTTGGTAAGCTTTCTCGCGTTGTTTTGTGTCGTCCCCCCAGTTGGTCCGACGAAATTTGAAGCATGTGGCCCTGCCACCCGTCTCTTCGGTATACTTCAAGTCCTCGCCATCCAATATTTCTGGGTCGACACCCAACTCCACGAGCCATTCGACAGTCTCAAGGCCCTTTCCGGTTCAAAACCGCCTTGTTCGTCCGGCCTGCATATTGGTTATTTGGATGCCAGGCGGAAATGCCATGTTAGATGAGAACTTACATGATGAATCAATGTGTTACCTTTTTCATCCATAGTGTACGGCGTAGCGACCCCTTGAGAGAAGAGTTTCTTAAGGCCGTCGATGTTTCCACATACTGCGCGTTCAAACACAGGCGATGACTTGGGTACCACAGCGTATTGTTTCAGATGGATTTTCCAGCCCGAACATGCAGCGGATACATGCAATTCCCATGCTTTACCCAATAGCCAGGTTGGGAGTTTCAGACGAAGTTGATATTCTGTGTGTGACTTGTCAGCAACCACGAATATCCCGCTAATTGTTCCTATGAGTGATCTACCCCGAGAAGTGGAATAAGTAGTAGCCTGATCTTGCCACTCCGAGTAATAGTACAACACGAGACCTAGGAAGTTCCTCCCATATTTGGTGCGGTACCTTGCACGCTTAGCAACAGTGTTGGAACTGCCCACGCGGGTGTTCTTTTCGATCAATACTTCACTGTACTCGGGGGCTTTTTCCTCCTTGACATCAGGAGTTTGCACCCATGCATTCTCCGGCGTTGTAGTACTAGACGCCAGAGCAAGAGCTTTCGTCACCGAAGTCATGATTAACTCCGGCTGTCGTCTCATAAAGGACCTACACCATATTGAGTCAGAATCAAGGAGCAAGCGCCGTATTCTTTCTCAATCCGAATCATTACCATCTCAGTCTCTGGATGAGTAAGAGGCAAAATGAGGGATGAAAGAGAAAGAGAGGATGGGAACTGGAGAGAAGAAGAAAGAAACACCACTCACGCTATATAGAGCTGATGGGCAAAAGCTAGCAGCTAAACGGTATGCTGCAACCGCATCTCATACTTGGCAAGAGTGTCCTTCTTCAACACCACTGCCACCTTCCCCACCAGACGTTTTCGCTTTCTAGATGATTCAATGTCCACAGACAGATCCCGAACAAGATTCTCCAAGTCTTTGCGTGCCATCTGGCATTGCTGAATAGCCAGAGGGCTTGGATATGGGCGAAGTGTCTGACCAGCGAGACTATCGTATGGAATTGTGTCTCCTGTGGTTTCAATCTCGTTGACGATGTCGCCCACGGCCTTCAGGCGACCCATAATGCATTGGATGGTTTCGGGGACATCCTTGACCTCTTGCCAGAGCCCGTTGAGCTTGATCGCAATTGCTCCAACTGTACCGGCAAGCTGCGCAATCGCGATTCCGCTGGACAACGATGCCTATGACCTCAGCCATGATGAGCAAATATTGTATGAAGGGAGTATATACTCTTAAAAATATTAGCTGCGAAGCTCAAGACTGGCAAGCAACTGAAGAAGACGGGCTCAATTGACAACCTGGAAGAGAAGCGAGGAGGAATAGTTGCACGAGGTGAGGATCGAAGAGTTGCACAATCAATGGAGGTTGGACGGGGTTGGACATCGACTCTGGTTGCCTCTGGCGGCTCAGCTTCGCTCATCCCCATTTATTACCTCCATTGCACAGCCCTCGAACGTGCATTTAACCCTATGATTGGATCACCGGAAAGTCTGAATGTAACTTTGCGACTTCCCCGCTTCCTCTCAATCATCTTCCGCCCTCAAGCCCAGCGGCAATGTGCATGAATGAGGTTATCTCGAGCAAAATCCACGTGAGAAGAGTGGCCGCCGAGATTCTTACGGATAAATGCTGTGAACTGGTACCTATCTTTCTGTTGCGAAGAGAATGGGGAGATGTTTCTGTGGCGTTGAGAACCTAGTCATTGTCGAAATTCTACAAATGAAGAACTTTGCTTGAATAGTAGAGTACAAGGTCACATCTTATGTATGGAAAATTCGCCCCAAAAAAGCCAGCCAAACCTGGCCCACAAAGTAATGAGCAAAAGAAACCACAAAGTGTCTTTACAAAGGTACGAAAGGTTACATATAAAAGGACCGAGGAAACATGAAATCTTCGCTCGTCTTCCCGGAGGCTTTCATTCGTTGTTCAATTCATTATATCTGGTTTATCTGCACCGCTGGTTTTTTCTCCGTGGTCTGTAAGTGAAGATTCTTGTAGTTGTGATTTTATAATTCGGTTGAGTCGCCAGGAAGTCCTCTTCTACCTAGCGGGCTTTAGTTTTGTGTTGTTCTAAAAGATCTGCATTTTCGCTTCCCAGACGCTACGTCGTCTTTTGAACAGTAAAAGATCGTTCTATTCCAGTCCTCACCAAACCATCGCTCTGCAAAAGATGTATCCACTCCTCACCTACATAGGCGGCTTCCATATTGCTGCTCTTAGCGATATCAACGCCGAGGCATTGCTTCAAGAGCACCCTTAATCCTTCCGGCAACTCCTATTAACTGCTCCCCTCTCCTCTACTATGTATTCCCTCTCTACTTCCCAGTCATATTCAACCACCGATTCGAAATGACCTTGAACGAATGGTTCCAGTTCGTGTCATCCCTGAAGATCCAATCCCCTCCTTAATCCCCCATATTTCCCCGTACCAAGATTATCCGCATACGCCAAAAGCTCCTTCACATTCTTCCCGTACTTGGTCACAGGGCCGTAACCCAGGACCGGCACATGCGCGATACCCAGCGTCTTGCACAGCAGCTCGACGGTTTTGAACGCCAGATACTCCTTGGCACCAATGTCCCAGATGCCAAAGACGACAAACTCGTGCTTGCCCTCGGGATACCGCATCGTGTTTCCCTGGATGTGCGAGCCGACCAGCTCGCCCTGGATGGCGATGTTGCGGAAGGGGATCTGATGGATCTTGTCGATGATGCCGCTTGTCTTGGCCGTCTCCCAGTATATGTTCTTGCCGTCGTCGAAGAACTCGTGGGAGTGGTTGCAGACGCCGACCCGGCAGCGCTCAGTTTGCATCGTGGGAGGGATGGGGATACCATCACCATCGGGCTTGTCGGCGATAGGCAAGGGTCGTAGGGCAGGGAAGAAATCGAGCAGGTCTTTCGAGCTGTTGGAGACCTTGTAGACGTGCATGCTGACACCGTCGAGCTTCTCGGTGACCTGGTAGGTCCTGGTATTGACCGTGCGTGGGTTGAAGACGACGTTGCCGATGTCTTGGATCCGCCAGTTGCCTGGTTTATGGATGAGCGCCGAGAGCTCGCCTATGATGCCCGTGACCGGCCGCTCGTGGGTCGGATACTCCCACTTCTTGATGCCCAGGTGGTCCGCGAAAGAATATTTCAGGATCTCCGTCGTGGCGTTCTCTTGGCCAACCTTGACGACGCGGTTATGGTAATACACCGTGATCTCGGGAAATTGTTCAAGGGGAAAGATCATGCCCTGCGACCATGTGCCGGCCACGACGTGCGACCTGACGCGGAGCCCTTGTTCTCCGTCGAAAACATCGGTCATTCTGGGCCAGAGCTCAAAAAACCTGTTAGTCTTGGGAATGAACGAATCAATCTCCATATAGACAACCAAATCGTCAACCTGAATCATGTAAGGGTTAGCAAGTTAGTAAGCCGCTTATGGACTACTAGTGGTACCTCTGTATAGACTCACGACCATTACTTACCTTGTAGCGCTTCATATGGGCCGTTAAGCCAACCACAGTCCAATTATCCACCGTCACGACAGTGCGATGGTCCTCAATTTTCTTCTTCGCCGTCACTTTACGCACGCCCACGAGCGTGCGCTTGTAATGTTGTATTGGTTGTACCGCGTTGGATGACGTGGCTGGGGTAACGTTGTCCATGATGTCGAGTAGTTTTCGGGGGGAAGGGGTGCGGAGGGCGGCGATGCCTATTGATGGAGTACGCGGTAAGAAGGGGAGTTTTGTTAAAAGAGTGAGGTGGAGGAAAGGAGCAGGGTTTCTGTGGCAGAGTCCTAGGTATTTAAAGGCAGTTCCTTCGAAAACCAGTGAAATATTTGGGTCAAGAATCTGTGGTAGGAGTATCCAGTGAACGGTCCGGTCGTAACTTCTCCTAGGTTTGGGAGTCTGCGGTTCGATCCTTCATAAGCCGATGGTCAAGGATGAAAGATGAAAATCTACCTACCTGTTTCGGATCGAACAACACCGGCGGTGATTGTGGCGTTTGGCGTGTAAGCTACAAACAGAGTTTAGGCTAGCCAGCGCCCCTGTTACTGCTTCCACCACTACCTGTTTAATCGTTTCGAATTTTCACTTACCACCTATCTGTAAATCCTGAGCACGTGTACCTGTACGCTGTAGGTACTCAACATCTTGCTCATGGGCCTAGGTACCACCAATGGAGATTAATCATATTAACAATCTAATACCTAGTGGTGCTCTCTCTCATACTACTATCTTTACTTGAAACTCCTAATACATCTAGTCCTCATGATTATGCACCTCAATACTAGCTGCAAAAAAAGGCCAGATAATAACATCCGCAAAAGACTCACTCATGTTCCATCACTGAACTCTTTCCTCCACACGACGCACTTCCAACCGCATGATTTGGGTTGACCACAGCATGGATTCCGACTACTGAATGGTGATACGTCCGAGATGGTCCATATAGGGTCTCTCCCCTGACAAGCAGATGTACCTATTGAACCAAGATGTCAGTCACTGTCTCAGTTTCCTGGTATTTCTGACGTTCGGGAATAACAGAAATGGTGTACTTACGACTTACGGCCATCGTCGGTACGATCAAAACCGTTGGGCCAGGCCTCCTCCATATCCTTGCGATGCTGGGTCATTGGCTTCTTCTCCTTAATTCGCAACTTCTCGAAGAAAACATAAGCGCCGTAGAATACGGACGAGGTTGCACCGGCTCGGGCCCCCTTCATACCGCGGAAGCGGGCCAACTGCGAGGTGTGAATATTGGCCGGTCGCTTTGCGCTTTGATGCTGCGCGTGAATATCGCGGCAGAACTGCGCCTGGGTGACGCCGGGCCTCCTCAGATAAGCATCAATCTTCCTCCGGATCTCATCGCAAGTGTCGTAAACAGGCACCTCATCGGTCTCCTCGCCTTCGAGATGGATGTCACTGACATCGACTTTCCCAATGTCGGCCTCGGCGCCGTCGGCGGAATCCGTCTTCTGCTTCTTGGCAGCCGCTGTCTTGTTGGGGATCTTGTAACCGACAGCGTCGAGCTTCTTGAAGTACTCCCACGCGGCAGGATAGGAGCTGTAGCCTTGGCCCTTGAAGGCACCGTGCTCGCGAAGAAAGCCGTTGAGAGACTTTACGCTCACGCCAATCTCCCCGGCCAAGCCCGTCTTGGTGATGATGCCTGCATCAAGAGCGCGGTTGATTTTACGACGCACTTGGTCACAGTTTTCGCGCATAGGCGCATCAATGACAATATCCTCGAGTTCGTCGGATGTTGGTAGACGCTGCGGAGCCGGGGGAGTCGCAGGTGCCTTGCGTTTTCGGCTGTTGGGAGCAGGTTGGCTTGGAGTGGCGGCTGGAGCAAAAGCAGCTTTGTCGGTAGGAGAGAAGCCGGTGCCAGTGGGAACGTTCTCCTTGTCGGCGGCGGCTGCAGCATTGAGGATGTTCTCGAGATAGCCTGATGGCGGGGCATTGGTTCTTGCTGCTTCTGGATTGTCCCGAAGGACACCGCGCCGATTCTGTGGATGGGTAGTTAGACAACGACGGCTAGAAATGTTTTGCTACAATATCTGGCTCTAGGACAGAGGACAAGTAGCAGTCGGAGTCTTCGTCTCATGTCACAGAATATCAGAGCACTGGTGTTTGGTGTACTTACATCAGACATATTCCTTGTTGCTACTGCTGGTTGACGTTTGTTGATGAACTGTGGGAGTGAACAGGACAATCGATATCGAGCTTAAGATAAGGCGATGGAAGCCGACCAAAAAATCCGGGTTAAAACCTTGAGCTTTGTTCGAGGTAAGTATGTGAATAGTAAGAAGTTAGTATTTGGAGAAAGCCTAGGTGAAGACCCGTGCGGGGGGGACCGTTCGTCGAAGTCAACAAAGTAAGGTGGGTCTTTACGTCAGTTATCTGGGTTGGACACGCAGGAACAGTGGGGCATTTGCACGCGAAATCACACGAAAGCACGTGAAGGGCCCTGCCCAGTACGCCGGACGTGGCTTTCTGTTAGTGCGTTATGCAAAATACGTGCACAGCCTTGGTAAACAGGTCATACGCACTATTTGCGCGTTAGTGCACATCCCAATTCCGGTCAAAAAACGGTGGTTCAACTAACTGCTCAACCCTGCAGCTCCGTTAGTGCATATCTTCCCATATTCAAGCCCTCAATGTTCCGACTCCGGTCCCGAGTTCAGTCTCGGCCACTGCACGATAACATCACTTTGAGACCGGAACCTGTATGGCCAAGTCGAGCAACCTTTTCTTTTTTTCTCTCTTTTCTTTCCTCAGCTTCGAAAGTGGAGCCTCCCAGAATGAGTCTCGATTATATTCGGCTGGATCGCGCGGCAGAGGTACCCAGCTGGCTGCAGGTGTTCGCTTCATTCAGCTGCGGTGACTTCGGGGCCCGGGGAATGCACTTCCGAACGTTTGATGCAGCAGTTGGATGGTTCATGGACATGCCTCTGGTACGAGACACCGAATCACGGCCGACCGTCACGGGCAAACTAGACCCAAGCTGTTCGGCTACATATCTCGAGCGGCAACCGCGGGTGAAGAACGTCCTGAACGATGCCCTCCCTCACGGCCCAAAAAAGGATTGTGCCGCACTCGGTGGATGATGACGAACCATTCATGATCACAATGTGATGCAGTAGAGTTGTGTTCTCAGCTGCTCGGCAAACACTGGACCCAATGAAGGAAGTAACCAGGTGGACGGGTTATGTCCATTTTCCGAGGTTCGGCTCATCATCATTGTTGTCAAGACGAGTGTCCGATCAACATGCTCACTGGTACCTTAATCTACCGAGACACTCCTATGCATGTTACGGTTACATTCATCCAAGTGGCAGTTATAGATGAAAGTATCAAAGTGGGTACGGCGTCCAAGTTCAGACGACTGTCTTAATAACTTGAGATAACACAGGAACAATCCGTCATGCACACACTGAGAGTAATTTCCCTTGGCGGTCAAGCACTCGCCATCTATGTGTCAGCACCAAGTCGGATTACTGCCCCATAATGTCGGAAGGGGTGCCGTCATTCATCAAGTGTCGCGGAAGGAGCCGTCTCTTTCTGCTCGGTGGTTAAGGTAGTCCGAGCAGGTCGAGATCATGGCACTATACCGACTCCATGGAGCGAGTGATACGATAAGACATGGCAACCCTCTCCATCACATCCTATTTTCCTCGCCAGTCTCGGATCACGTTTACGATGAACTCCTAGATCCAACCAGTCAGCCCCTTGTCTACCCACACTGGCCAAGATGTATGTCGCTGTTGTGCTTCAGCACATGTAGCCTCTTCAGCTTTCAAGTCACAACAGACCTTCACGGCAGAGTCTCATCCCGCTTTTCTTCTTTTTATATTAGAGATATCCTCTTCACTTCTTACCCTTGGCATAGACCTTCATATATACCTCTCAACTATGTCCACCATTCTTGTTTTCACTGACAACCAGATGCTCCTCATACTCGAATAAGATTCGTCGGGTACCTGTCAAAATGGCAAGCTTGCTCTGCGTTTCTCCTATCATTATCATCGTCATCCCACAAATTACCTACTTACTAACTGTCCCTCACAGCCCACTCCCCTCACGCTCCCCGATGGTCTCCCAGCCATAATCCCCACAGCCATCTCCAACCTCGAAACAGTCAAGCAAGCTCGAAACAACATCAAAGGCGCCGCAGAACCACTAGACTCCATCTCCATCCAAGCCGACATTCTCATCCGCTCTCTGCTCCTCATCAAAGATATCCACTCCCTCCAAACCTTACGAGTAGGCGAGCAAATCTACCAAGTCATGGACCTCGCCTCCCGCTTAGGGGCATCAATGCTAGTCATCGCCGCGGATAGCAGCAGCCGCACGCCGCCCCAAGAGATCACACCGGATAACTACGTCTACGGCCACTTGGTTACTATGAAGGGGCAGTTGCAGGAAGCAAAAGATACGTTGGTTGAGCTGGTCAGGTCAGTGCTCGTGGGAGTGTCTGGTAACCCCAAGGATGGGTTTCGGGTTTCCCTGAAAGATTTGGTGAAGGCGAATGAGAAGGTTAGGGAGGTTATGGGTGTCGAGATGAGGTTGTTTGAGCGGTTGAGGGGGAAGATAGTAGTAGTAGGGGAAGAGGGGAAAGTGGGTGGTTGTGGTGAGTGATCCCGATTTTTTTTGCCCTATAGTAAAAGTCAGATAGATGTGTGTGATATCACATGTACCTACTTACTTTACTGACTGAGATATTCGGGAGGTTTCTAGCGGAAGAGACAGTCATCATCAACCTTGACGATGCGGATATTGAACATCTCGGGTTACCCCGTGTATCGGGAGATATGTGAGTACATACCTAGCGTACAGTCTTCTATTGCCCGTTTGATTATGAGACGGCTAACAGTACAAAACTCAGGGTCGAACAATGGCGCGCTACAGTGGGGGCTGAGACTGGCATCACTCAGAAGAACGAACAGTAGGTGATCAGCAATACGTCGTTGGACGGATGGTAGGAGGATTTTCTCAAATGAGTTCTTATGGCTTCGGGTAAAGCCTCTCCCGGTTGTGGTTATCTGCTTTTATGGTGTGGTTATCTGTTTTTACTTTTCTTTGGTTTCATTGTTACTCTCCGTTAAATTTTCAATACCCTGCATTCTACTTTCAGCGTGGATGAGTGGCAGTCTGCTTTTTTTCATCGTAATAATAAATAATAATATTCTAATTATATGCTTTACTCCCTGGTGGTTTGTTGAAGCGCAGTTTCAATATGGTCTAGAGAAAGAAGTATAACAATACGTAGTTAGCGGAGCTTTTCTTTATAGGATCGTACCTATATATGACAGGCTGGGGTGCATATGCCCAGACGGCCAAACCTGCAAAAGATAGGACGATGTTCTGCTTGCAAGGCAGAACTCAGAATGTACACTATATAGCCAATGTCAACCTGTGACACTTTAGCTGCTTCCAAGCCTTTTACTTCTACTTCAATTTCTATAGTTTCTTTAATTCTTATAATTCTTTTAGTTCCCTAGCCTATTATTCCCGTTCCTGTAGCTCTTCCCGTTTCTATACCTTATATATAGTTCTTAAACTCTACATTTTTCATTCCATTTTAATGGTTAATTTAAAATACTAGTATCGATGGCTATATATATACTATTATACGTACACTAAGACTTCTTTCATTCTTTAAGAGAAATATAAATTTATAGAATTCCTCCTTTACTGTAGTAGTCCGATGAAATTAAGAAATTATTTATAAAAAATATTGTATTTACTAGTATTATAATAAAACAGTTTTACTTATTTTATTTCTTCGAATATTATATAATTTAATACCCTCTTCGCCCGATATTTCAATATTAGGTAGTAGCCTAGTTAGGATATTAGGTAGCCGAGTAGGAGATAAGCTTTATAATAATACTAATTTTAATATTAATATTAATAGTAATAATAATATTATTATTAGCAATACCCTCTTATAGTTCGAGTATAAAAATTGTAATTTATACGTTTATTAGACGTTTGATACTAACGTTTCAATTTTATACGCTTCTAAATATATTATGTAAGTACTAATATTAAATTCAATAGGGAATTTAGTATGTAAATCCGATTAAACGTTAAATACTATTGTAGCTTATAGTTACTTATATATATAAAATAAGTCTTTTGCTACTAATACTTTTTTCAATAACGCTGGATAGAATTTATCAGTTTTAATAACTGTCACGACGCTGGCGGACCACTACACTACTAGGCTATGTTCCAAAAGGATACAAGTAACCGAAACTGGTAGTTCGGTCGCTCAAGTGGTCTTATGTAGTTTGTCCCGGAAGAGGCATCCGAGTGCATTCCGTGACAAATATCACATGTCGGTCCCATGATTCAGTATTTTGCTTCTTCCTCTTCTTCTTCCTTCTTCCTTGTCGTCCTCCATACCTCCTCGGCCTTCTCCAAAATCATTCCGTCCCAAGATCAAGCAGCTGAAAATAACAACCCTCTTCAATGTCCAATGTCTCAGATCTAAGATCTCCCCAAGCCCAAGCCCAAGTCCCTATCAAGATCACCAACTACCTTCTAGGTATCCTTCAACTCGGCACTGACAACTGCCGAGAAGCCACATACTGCCACACTGCCACGCGCCGCTCACTTGTGTCTCATCTACACAGTAAGCATCCAACACCCGACCGACCGACTCGTTTCTTCTTTCCATCCCACGTCCTCGGTTTACGGTTCACGATCCGAACGGCTGAAGGGCAGGCAGACAGTGTCAGATGTTCACCCCCTCCACCCTGTCCCCTCCACAAACGACAGAAAAAAAAGGTTGACAGTGTTATCAACATCTAGGAGAAAGACATCAACCTGATCCGATTGTTACACAAAGATGAATGTCTTAGTTGCAAGGGTAACTGTGCATGAACTCCTGTTCGTGTTGTGCAACATGCATGAACTGAGGCCGATCCCGAAGGCCGAGGCTGAATCGGAGAACAAGGGCTAGATAGAAGCAAAAGAGATTGGAGATGTGACGAAAGAAGATGGTTTCTTTCAGCTGGTACCTAGAGGTATGCATGTGTGTATTTTCCTCCGCTAACGTTAACCCACTTGCACCATCATCTTCCAAGGTACACCGTATATAATCGTACAACAAAGTCTTTCCCCCTGTCGTATCCGTATCGTACCCTCGTGTGCCATCCCAAAAGAAATAGTAGTCTAAAAAAGGTAGTGACTGTCGGGCGGGTATGTCATGACTGTAATTAGATCAGTAATGGTATGGTATATGTGTAAGGTATGGATATATCAACAAAAGAAAAGCCGGTCGGCGTGTGGTCGTAACAAGAAAAAAACAGAAAAAAATAGAGAATTTTTCCGCTAAAAGTGCAAAGCCGGCCACAACATCGTATAATCCCCCGCCAAATCCCTTAGCCTCTGCTGGGAATCACTCGTGTCCGGCCTCTTCACGCCATCCATCCTTCCCCCAACGAGCTCATCTCCTTCGGTAGACGCTACTCTCTTTAACGGCAGCAATCCACCACCACCACCGCCTCCCGCTCCTGCTATAGGGCTCATAGTATCCTCGATACCATGTTTATCCTTCTTATGTTTCTTCAGGTTATCTAACCGGCTGAAGGTCTTGGTACAACCGGGGACGTCGCAGGAGAGACGTAACCCCTTGTGTGTGTTTTTGTGTTTGCGGAGATAGCCTTTGAGGTTTTCGCGGACGCCGCGGGGCTTCCATTGGCATTCGTCGCAGATTAGGTCGTTTTCGTTGCTGCCGCTGCCGTGACCAAAATATGAACTTGGGTCTTGTTGTGTGGTGTTGTTGAGTCGACGGTGGTGGATGGCGATACCGGTGTTGGAGGTGTGATGTTGTAGATGTGAGTGCTGGTGTTGATGGTCGTGTTGGCGATGGTGGTGGTGTTGTTGATGTTGCTGTTCGGAGTTTGGCGATAGTAATACATCGCCAGTAGAAGAGGGAGTTGGGTTCCCATCTCCAGGTGTTGTTGATTGATGTGATATTTCGCTGCCAGTTCCTCCTGTTCCTATTAGTGTGGTGTTTGGCTGCATCGTTTTTATTGAGTCGAGACTTGGTGATCGGGCCATGTCCCGATGATGATGTGTCCCTGGTTGATAATAGATTTGATGAAGTTGTGATTCATCAGTATCTCTGGTTCTCACAGGTGTATCCGGTGTCGGTATGTCCCTTCCATTGTTGTTGCTTGTTAATGTCATGGCCGGTGGCGTTTGAACATGGAAACTGGTACTCGTTCCAGACGAGTCCGGTGTTAATCCTTGAATGCGACCCGTGATTCTTGGGCTCCACCACGAGCTGCCATCCACATGCATAGCAGGAGGCATACTCGTCTGAGACACTGGAACGCCGAGGACAACAATCTGGTCGTCCAAAGACATGGCCGTCGGTGGGGGGATATCATCAAGTTGTAATGTCCCCGTGGGTATTGTTGATTGTGATGTAAAAAGGTATGACTGTGAGGTAATAGCGTTGCTATTCCCCTGAATAGGCGGCGTAGGTGAATGGTATTGTGAGAACCTGTGTGGGAACAAGGTGGTCCGCGAAGTGTTCGTGGACGCTCTCTGCGACGGTTCGACTTCGATGGTGGACGAGGCCGTGATTGACGACACGGCCGACTGCAAATCCGACATTTCCTCCGCACTGAACCCTTGTCGGAAAAGCTCTAAGCTGGCATCCATCATGTCAGTCATAGTCGATTGCTTTTGGAGAGAAAACAAATCCCCCGTGGCACTATGGTCCGTGAATGGCACCGCAGAGTGCGGCGTCGGACATCCCATCATGGCGGTATTTTGAGCTACCGATTCCATAGAAGCTGCCGTGTGTGACCTCGTATGAAGCATAAAGCCAGGTTGATGAGTTGCGATTTCTAATAACGTATTCGGCTTGCGGTTGCTGTCCCGTTTCCGAAGCGTAAACGTGTCCCTCATCTTGGAACCCAGGCTTCGCTTCCGCTCAACGTTAACCTCCTGATGCTTCCAACCGCTCCAATTCGCCCAGTCCTTCTCGTTGGTCGGAAATTCGTGCAACATGTTGCATTTATCGCATTGAAAGACGCCATTGTGGAGTCCTGGACAGGATAATAAATGCTGGATGAGCTGTAATTGTCCTAGGAAGACCTTTCGACACCTGGCCATCGGACACTTGTAACCTGAATGAAATTGCTGAATATTTGGCCGCTCCAGTAAGCAGCGCAAGAACATCAGAACAACACGGGCAACAGTCCCATCCGTAACCACCTTTTCTTCGTGTCTGGCCGGAAAGATTGATGGCCAAATCAGCCACCTGGTTGTGAAAAGTAATCACGTAGGACGGACTGGGTAGACTCACGGGCATGGACCACGGTGGTGCCCCATCATGGAGGCTTGCGAGAGAGTGACATGCGAAGCGTTGTCTCGGATGACGGTCGAATAAAGCCCTCCATCATGAATAAGTCGGTGCTGAAGACTGGACATGGAGGTGGTAAGGGACGTGGCTGGGCTGATTCATAGGTGCCACGGTGCAT